CTAAGCCACCAGCACCACCAAATCAGATTTCATCATCATACCTCAGTACCAAAACTGAGTAGACCAAGCTAGACCAGCAGTTGAGATACACACAGGATGCAGATATTCACCCAAGCTACCACTACAAATCTACAATAGATCCAAGAGCAGCAGCAGACCTCAGCAGTTCAACACCTACCAACTACCACTATATATCAGCAATAGACCCTCCCAAGCACCTCCTAATTTGCCTTAGATTAGTAATAAAATCTTACTCAGAAAAATGAAAATCTCTGAGGTGTTGTTTTACCCAAAAAGTAATCATATACTTAATTAAGTCACAGAGATCCTCTAAATTTGGAAAGGTTGCTCTGAAAACACAATCATTCCTGCATCTCCAGACTGACCACATCACTGCCAATGGAATTGCCCCCCAAATCATTATTTTTTTTCTTCTTTAGCTTCCCCCTCTGCCCACCACAGGAGAAGACTCTCCACAGACCATGGCAAAACAGTTTGGATATCCCACCACTTTAGCATTCTAGCCCAGATTTTCCACACAAAGGGACACCAAATCAAGACATGGTTTACTGATTCACTTCCACTGTTACAAAACACACAGGTTGTAGGGTCATTAGGGCTGATCACACCCAATTTTTATAGAAACTCCCTTGTCTTGATTCTCCCTTTCCAAGCAAACCAACCAAGCACCTGCACCTTGGGAGGGACATATTTGAGCCAAATCAATTTAGTTATATTCAAGGTGGCACCAGCATTATCTACAACAAACTTGTGCAAATCTGCTACTTTTAGGACCCCATGAGATGAAGCTGACCAAACAAGTTGATCTGTACACTCTATACAAACAGCAGGTGCTGACACCAGGATATTATTAAGCCTAACCAATTCCAGCACCTCCCATTCATAAAGTTCTCTTCTAAAAGCAAAGGACCAATCACCTACTATGGTTTTCTTATCAACCAAGACTCTCAAGGACTCCTTTTTTTTCCAAAGATAACCTATACAAAGTTGGGAATTCATCTTTCAAACACACAGATTGACACCAAACATCTGACCAAAACCTGATCCTCTTCCCATCCCCTACTTTCAATTGGAAGTTATGCAAATAAAACTCCATTAAGCTATTGCACTGCTCAGCAACCGAGATAATTCCATTCCAAACTGGTGAGTAACTATTGGAAGGAATTAGAGATGGGATCCAACTAGCCACCTCCAACTTATATCTACTACAAATGACACTTCTCCACAAAGCATCTTTTTCACTACCCAACCTCCACCACCACTTTATTAGTAAGCACTTGTTTGCATCCCTAAAATTTCTAATTTCCAAACCACATTAATCCATTCTTTTGACATGTCCTCCCATTTGATCATATGAATTTTCCTTTTCAATTTAGAACCACCCCATAAGAAATTAGCTTGAATCTTCTCCAGCTCTTTAGCAACCCCTTCAGGCATCCTAAACAGTGACAAATAAAACACAGGCAAAGCTAAAGTTACTGTTTTAACAAAAATTAACCTCCCCGCAAAAGACAGCATCTTCCTCTTCCAACCAGCTAGCTTACTTTTCACTTTAACCACTACTGGTTTCCAAGTGGCTTTCCTCCTTGGATAAGCTCCTAGTGGTAGCCCTAAAGAAGTAAGTGGCAAAGATTTTATTTTACAACTTAGGACTGCATCCATTTCATTCATCATCTCTGTAGAAACACCCACACCACATACCACACTCTTATGAAAGTTTATTTTCAACCCAGACATGATTTCGAAGCACCTTAGCACCCTTTTCAATTTCCTCACCTCCTCCACCTCTACTTCACTGAATAAAAATGAGTTGTCCGCAAACTATAAATGAGTTAACACCACACCCTCACAGTCTACTTTTACCCCTTTGATTAGGTTTAAATAGCAAGCTCTGTTCAACAACATATGTAGACCTTCAGCTACTAGATTGAACAAAAAAGGGGACAGGGGGTCACCTTGCCTTAAACCCCTTTGAGGGCTAAACTCTTCGGTAGGGGAGCCATTGACGATGATTGAGACCGTTGTAATTGTAACACACTCCTTCATCCAATTAATCCATTTAGCTCCAAACCCAAATTTAGAAAACATATCAAGCAGAAAACCCCAATTAATGGAGTCATATGCTTTTTCAAAATCCAACTTAATGAGCACACCCTTCTTCTTGGTCTTCTTCCAACCCTCAACAACCTCATCAGCTATTAGCACTCCATCTAAAATGTTCCTTCCGCTTAAGAATGCAGAATGAGGCTCACTAATGATATGAGGCATTACGGATTTCAACCTATTTGCCAACAGTTTTGCTATGATCTTGTATAATGAACCCACCAAACTTATAGGCGTGTAATCAGAAAGCCCTGTTGGATTGTCCCTCTTCGGAATGAGGGTTATAAAAAAGCTGTTTATACCTTTAACCAATTTACCATTCGTATGAAATTCTTTCACAAAATTAATGACATCGCCCTTCATAACCTTCCAAAACTTCTGAAAAATAAAACATGCAAAAACATCAACAAGGCAGGGCAATGCAAGGGCATTGGTGAGAGACCAATCCAAAGCAAAGAACCCACCGAACAGGACAAAGCAAAGAGGCCACGAAGTGATCATCAAGGAAACCTCTGCTGAAGGAGATTTCATGAGCACAGCAACATTGAAGCATAATGCACCTCAATAGCAGCCAACTCTGCCTACAATAGTAGCAGTAACTCCCCATAGACACCACAAACACAGCATACATGATCCACAGGTTCTCAGATGCAAAACAGCACCTGACTCAGGTTCTCCACTATGTGATGCACTGAGTAATGGACAGAAGGCAGTGAAGCTCGAACCCACAACCCCACCCTCACTTTAACTACCTCACCAAGCTCCAACATATCTGGTAAATGACCCTTGAACACAATCTCATTCCGAAGCCTCCAGGTTGACCACAGCATTGCCACTGGGACCAGCATCCAGATTTTCTTCACTAGTTTCCTATGCTTAGTTCCCAACCACCAAGAAAGAACTCCATCCACTGTAGCAGGAGAGACCCAGCATAAGTTCCACCACTGTAGCAACTTTCCCCAAACCTTCCATATTTGAGGACACTGCACAAACAGATGATCTACTGATTCTTCTGCAGCAAGACAGAAAGGGCAGGCAACATTTGCATTACCCCCTAACACCCCTAGTCTTTGCAGAACAACTGCAGACTTTACCCTTCCTCTCCAAGCCAGCCAACACAAGAATTGGGCTTTAGGTGGTGCCAGATTATTCCATAGCATCTTAGGAACCTGTAAGCTAGTTCCAGAATTTTTCTGAAGCCAAGATCTCACAGATGCCACTGTGAACACACCAGACTCGGATGCTGTCCACTTTACACCATCACACAGATTTTCATTCAACCTAGGGACATCCTTAGTTAACGCTTGCAACTTTCCGACCTCCTCTTCCTCCCAAGAAAACAGAGGTCTTCTAAACTATAGACTCCAGGGACCATCCCTATCCCTCCTCTGCATAAAATAACTGAGCTTTTCTTCTTTCTCCATAGAAAGCCTAAATAACCTGGGAAATTCCTCTTTCAACTTCAAGTTCATGCACCACCTATCATGCCAAAACAGAATCCTACTCCCATTCCCTACCACAATCTGTAGTTTTGAAGCAAAAAATTGGAACAACTCTGGATTTAATGCAGCCACACTCAGGATATCACTCCACACAACAGATTCCTTACCGTCCCCATTCTGTATTGGGAGCCACCTGCCTCCATCAGACCCATACTTGCTAACAATAACCCTCTTCCACAGTGACTTATCCTCCACCCCTCCTCCACCCCATAAAAAAGCTGTTTATACCTTTAACCAATTTACCATTCGTATGAAATTCTTTCACAAAATTAATGACATCGCCCTTCATAACCTTCCAAAACTTCTGAAAACACAGCAAATTAAATCCATCAGGACCTGGTGCTTTATTCCCGTCGCAATCCATCACTGCTGATTTAATCTCAGATTCTGTAAATTCTGCTTCAATCAATCCGAGACTCACCTTGCCTTCTACTGATGGGAACTGACCCCCCAGCACTGGTCTTGATGGCCAGGATTCTGCATATTGATTCTTAAAAAATTCAAGCACTTTCCCCTTCACTTGTCTTGGATCTTCAAACACCACCTCCCCTTATGTAATAGAGTTTATCTCATTTATTACTGTTCTACACTTTGTTAATACATGGAAAAATCTTGTATTTTTGTCCCCTTTCATGGCCAGTTAAGCCTAGACTAAAGCTAGCTATTGTAGTGCAGCTTATAGTTTTTATGTAGTAAGAACCCAATTAAGATGTTGCAAACAACTTCAAGGCACTTTCATGCATCATTTGACTAATGTTTAAAGATTTTGCTGCATAATGCCATTTCTTGAGAAATTATGTACATATGTTAAAATTGAGCATGATAGGAGTGGGCAGAATGTAACATAAAGGATAGCCCATGGAAGAGTTAGTGCGCTTAATTGAATGAAAAATTAGAAGAAAAAAATTACAAAGTTTAAGGATTTTTGACAGGATTTACCCTATGTTAAAACGGTACATATATTGGTAGGGCAACCTTTAAGTAACAATTTTGTATAAATTACATCAGAATGATGAAAGCACTCATGTTTTCAACAATAATATTATGAAACTTGAAAAATTGTTTGAAATGAACAGAAATATAAAGTTGTGGTCTAAATTCATTTTATGTATAACTCATATCCACATTATATATTTTATTTTTTTGCCACGTCTTAACTTTCTCACTCTCCCTACCCTTCTGATAACTAATCATCACATAAACAAGTATTAAATGCCAAGCATTTAAGTTAATCAATGCATTGGATACCCCTAATACACTACTATTCCAAATTGGTTGGACTGTTTAATGATCAACATGAATGGGCAAACTAGGCATAATGCATGGGTTGACCGACATACATGTTCAGGTGACCTTATAAATTACCCTGTATTATTGATATTTGTGATCTTTCTTCTTTCCCCCCTTAGCTTCTCCCTAATTTCTCAAAACACAAACTAGAAGGCAGCCATGAGTAGAGGTGGAAGCTTTGGTGGAGGCCAGAGTTCTTTGGGTTATCTCTTCGGGTCGGATGAGCAAAAACCTGCACCTCCAGCCTCCCCAACAGTTTGCACACCGCCTTATGGGATCGATTCCACACCAGAGAAGCCACCAAAAAGCCCTCCTCCTCCGGAGAAACAAAATGTCTCTAACAATTATCACAGAGCTCAAGGCCAGAATTCAGGAAATTTCATGACTGTAAGTGATCAAAAAAATTTATTGATTATAATTGAATTGCATACCTTTCTCTCTTGTATTACTAATCTTCACCTACCTACTTCTGCATCGATATGTTTCCAGGGCCGTCCATCGACCAAAGTTAAGTCTGTTCCCGGTGGAGATTCTTCTCTTGGGTACTTATTTGGAGATAAGTGATGTTTCTTTCTCCCAAATTCTCTATCCCTAAAAAAGTTTTTAAGCATAGCAGTCATGTGGGTTTTGTGCTGCAACAAGAATAAGGAACACTGTTCCCCTCCTCAGTATTGGTTTTTTTAAGGTTTGTTCCTGGTGTTGATTCTCTTGCAAGGTTGTCCTAGAATGTTGATGGTGTTTGATTTTTCATATGGATGTGTGTAAGGATGTGTGGATTTGTCTCAAGATGCCATCTAGCTAAATTAGGGTTTATATGTATCTATATGTATGGCTAATGGTTTGTATGTTTGACAACATAAAATAAGAAAAGCAGTTTCTGAAGTGTGTGAATTTTTTAATAGATTGTTTATTCCATGATGGGGTTTGTGTTTATTTCTTTTTTCTTGTTTATTTACTACCAAATTTGGAAAGGAATTAGACAAGACACTAACGCTTTTCATTCTGCTTTCTCTTTACAAGCCATTTGCATTAAACTAAGTTGGTCCGTTCTTTCTTTCTTTCTTTATTGTTTATTTATTATATGCCTTGCATGTAATTCTTTATTACAGGAACTACAAATTATGTGAACTGAGGAGTTAGGATTCTCTCTCTCTCTCTCTCTCCCTCTCTCTCTCTCTCTCTCTCTCTCTCACACACACACACGGAGTTCCAAATCTACCTTTTTGTTGCTGATGAAGTCGATTGAAAAATTGCTTGACTATTTGAGCTTGTTCAAGTATTATTTTCGATATAGTTCATCTCCTGTATTATAGTCATTCTCACAACATAGATACCTGCTTAATTATGATATATTTATCATCATTGAACAATCAAGAACAGTGGGATTATGAATAGTTGGTTAAAAGTTTAGATTTCTGATTTACAGTTAAAAGTTAGTTGAAAATTGAGTATATTTATGTTGGAATCCATTATTGGAAATTAGATCACATTGATTGGAAGTTAGATCCTTGTTTGACAGCTTAGTGGATAAAATGAATTCAAAAATATTGAGAAGTTAATACCTACCTAGTTTACAAATAGATCTTTTTGTAGCTAGTACATTTATTTTCTAGAAAAACTTTCAGTTTGCAGAATGAAGTGTTTCTGCAGTTGCTGGTATATACTGTTGTTCCTGTGTCAAGTTCAACATACATAGCTGATCCAACAAATAGAGATAATAATAAAACAAACAAACAAACAAAACAAAACAAAACAAGAAGGCAGTGAAAACCTGGTTAGCCTATATCTGAATTTTTTTTTTTTTTTTTTACCAAAAAATAAATTTATTGATGAAATCAAATGATTGAGTACACAAAGTAATCAAGACTACATCAATCCTATGCGAAGACTTGGCCGAAACATAGTAGCCTACATCTGTTAATGAAATACAAGTCATTTCTGATAAATGATTAATTTTTTTACACAAATTTACTTCAAATGAAAAAACTAACATAAGATGCCTATTAATGATATTCTACAAAATTAATTAGTATTCCCCTTAATTTAAAGCAAGAAATACAATTATGGGGGAAAAAAAGAATTACAATTATGGAATAACTAACAAGGTAGAACTAAAATAAAGGATATTATTTTATTAATTTAATTATATTTATCAAGTGAAAGGGTGAACAAGTTAGAAGAGCATCATTTGTTGAAAACAGACCATCTAACTAAAATTAGTAGAGTAACCTTATAAAAAAATCTTACCAACAATTAATCTAAGCTAATGCGGTTCATACAGGCATGTGGCAACAGAAATGTAAAACATAACACATACTAGAGGGGCAAGTATGCATGAAATGTAGGAGCCGTACACAGCCCCTTTAAAATAAATTTATAGAATTCAATCAGAATATATTTCTATGTTATTAACATTTCTTTTCTTAATTTTACTTATAGCACAGTAACATGGAAGTTTGTAGATAGATTAATCCCACACTCCTATAATCCCTTTCCATATTCCTATGCAAATATAAATGTATCTTTCTATAGATAAATGTATCACTCATCATAATTATATTCTAGAAAATTGTGGATTATAATTTTCAACACTTCTTAATTCACTATTTTCGAGAAACAATTCAACCATACTTAGGGGTCTTTTTTTTTTTTTTTCAGCAAAAAAGTAATATTTTATTAAAAAAATAAGCAATTGACATATTCGAGGTAAGAAGATAAGAAGGAAATAATGAAAAGACATCAATTACAAATAATCAAATAACCTATTCCAAATAGGATGCTTAGAATTTATTGAGTCGCTTTCTTTGTCACCACTTGCATCTGAATTCTTTTGCCTATCACTTTTTGAACTTCCATAATCTTGCATACATCTTCCAAAAGTCGGCTACTCATTTTCATTTGGTAGGTAGTTTGTCCCCATTTTAAACTCCTGAGTATCCTTTGACAACTCGCATTTTATTTATCTAGTTGTTGCGGGCTTTGGTTGCCGATGACCAATGCTTTCCATGGAATCACAAGTCCATTTTTGTTATGGTGAATACAACCTCTTTTTCTTTGGTGAACACACGCGCATTTGTTTTCAATGAAGCGGTTGCTAGATTCCTGTTTGCTTTTACCTTTTCCCACATTTCTTCAAACTTTTGATTTTGTATCTTCAAAATGATTTGGACTAGGTACTTGGGAGGCTTCAAAACAATTTTGTCGATTAGGAAAGCAACATTGACTCACCTTTGTTCTCAACTTTGTGAATTAGGAGTTTGTTCGATATGAACTTAAAATTCAATCAGAATATATTTCTATATTATTAATATTTCTTGTAACTTTACTTGTAGCATACTAGAGTGTCCTTAATATACATGGTACATGACTCTCACACCACTAAAAGAGCCTTTCATATTCCTAGTATATGTATCTTCCTATAGATAAATGTACCACCCAATATAATTATAATCTAGAAAATTGTGGATTACAATTTTCGACATATTGATGGTCATAATTATTGATCAAGATAGCCTTACTAATTAAATTAGAGTAGTTCTCAATTACAAGGATTGATATTATATATAAATTCAGATAAATTTAACTGGAATAATGCTATATGCACCAATTAGTGGTATTAGTATACTAGTTGATATACTAATTGGTGCATGTAGCACCACCGATTTAACTGTATCTTATAGAATTTATGGCTACAAAATGGAATGTGGTTTATAAGAAGCATGTATTGTCCTTAATTATTTCCACTTTGAGATTTTATAATTGGACTAAACGTAAGGCCTTGTTTACAAATCATCATGAGGAATGCAATGGCTGATTGTCATGGATGTAATCAACAATTTGTCTGTTGATTTGGCTCCTAGACTGGTATATCTGGTGTTTATGGTCTGATATAATCTGAGAGATGCTACTAGTGTGTTTGGTGTGTATCTGATAGATCTGCTATCTGTTAGCATAAGTTTTCTCTGTTGTTTTGGTATTTTGGTTGCTATCTATTGCTATCTGTTGTCTTTGTGTATCTGTTGTCTTTGCTATATGTTGTATTTGTTGCTATCTGTTGTCTTTGTGTATCTGTTGCAGTTTTATAAGCTCTGTTGCAGTTTGTATCTATTGGTCTCTCACCAACAGATGTTGGGATTGATGCTGCCATGTAATTATGCGAGTCGCTCAGTGCCAATCTAGTTGGGATTGGGTTATCTCGTTACGATCGCTTTTGCATCATTCCCTCCCCCCTTGTTGATGTTTTTTCCTTACGTGTAAGGTTCTCTATCATTAATAAAGTTTTCTTCGTTGTTGATCAAAATGAGGATATTTGATTTTGTTCCTTATTTTACTTCATTTCTCTACCCTTTTACCCATCCCTAGCGCTTAATTGAGTAACAAAGGTAATTTAGTGCAAGAGATTCTTTGTTGCGTGAGTCAAATATAGAATCTTACTCCAAGTGCTCGGGTGTGGATGCTATGTAATTTCATGCTTTTATATACAATAGAAGCTCTCTTAACATCTTTTTCGCTGATTCAAAAAAAGTAAATTAAATGGAGCACTTGCAGAACATGTTAGTGACAATTACTGATTGAACGAATATTCTAAGTTTACAGAAATTTTTGTACATAAATCTCATAAAAAATGATGTTATAATAAATTATCATATCATTTTTTATGAGATTTATGTATAAAATTTTTTGATTGAATATGTTAGTGACATGTTAGTAACAATTACTGATTGAACGAATATTCGAAGCTTACAGAATTTTTATACATAAATCTCATATAAAATGATGTGATAATAACATATTTTCCGGTTATGAATATGTATATATATATATATGCTTCTACAAACCCAAGAATAATGCATAGGAAACTATTTTCCATTTCATGGTTTGCTAGCTACTTCACAACTACCCTACGATGGTATGGACAACTTGTTTATTCATCCATTACAAGTAACCTGTAAACCAAAGTTGTGGCTTTTATCTGGCCATGGCCAAACTTGTCATTGGGAAATCTAAAAAAGTTATCAGAAAAGTAGCCAAAAAATTATGTGTGAAATGGATTCATTCTATATATATATAAAAAAAAAAAAAGGAAAATGATATACAAGTTTAATTTTTAGACTCATTTTCTAAACTCAATAATATGTAAGTGATATGACTGATTGATAATTAAAGAATATATGAGAGTGTGTTGCCTTTAATATCTTAATTGATTGTCGAATTTAATTTATGACATTGAATAACAATGTTCATTAAAAAAAGAAGATATATATTCCAAAAATGTACCATGAAATTAGGGTTGTGTGGGCCATTTCTAGAATAGGGGATTTTTTGGGGTTTACTTATTTACTGTACTCTTTGACTTTTTAGGAAAAGATGTGTAGAAAAGTAAAAAGATGATATCACTTAAATAAGTGCTCTTATTACTTATTAAATAAGTATACTTATTTAAAGAATAATATTATATGTACCAATTAATGTACTACTAGTTTACTAACAGATGATGTGACATAATTTTAGAAGTTTTGGATATTTCTAATTTGTATAATAGGTGGGGTCAATAATAATGACATAACATTAATTAGTACATTAATGTATATATTAATTAATGTATGTAGTACTACCGTTATTTAAATTATCCCCAAACAACTCCTAAATGTCGTTTACACATTGCCCTTTCTGAATACGCTTTTAATACTTAAACCTTGCATTGTTGTTCTGAATTATCACACTCAGTTTACACTAGACACTATTTTACGTTATTTTTATCAATATTTAAGTAATTTTTTCAAACTTTGCGATTTTCTTTTTTCTATCATAAATATACATAATTATTTTGGAGAAACTGAATGGCACCAATTTTGTAGAGAGGGATAGAGAAAAAGGCTTCTAATATGAGTGGACAGAG